TATTTTACATTCAGGAGTGTAACGCCTTTTTCTGTCCTGTGGTGTGACACGCTTTTGTAACAAAATCCAAAAAATATTTTCAAAAACAAATCAATTCTATAACAATTGTAAAAAGTCTTTCCACAAACATCACATCATTTTTTGCATAATTCTTTTAATTTAGACATTTTAACATGCCCTGCAGAGTGAGCTCTCCTGTCACCCTGCTGGATATTTATTTACTGGACATTTATTATAAATTTGCCATTTTAAAAAAATCTAATAAATTATGTAACATGTCTATATTGTTGGTTTAATAATTATGTAACTGTCCCATCTTAGCGAATATATTTTAACCATTGAGTTTTTCTCAGGAAATACAGGTGTCACACTGCAGGACATCACACTTGTGTTTTTCAGAAAAGATGGATTATTAAAAATAAACTGTATTATTAAATATAAGAAAATTATAATTATTAAATTAGTTCAGTATCTGCTACTGCTAACTGCTTATATCTGTTTTAGGTGTAATATTATAATAATGTATACATCCTTCCCTGTATGCCAGAAAAGTTTTACAGTCACACCACAGGACATTTCAAAAAATACAAAGAAAATGAAACACAACTTCATTCCAAAACGATATGTAATTTATAGAATTCATATTTGTGCAGTTTAATTGAATTTTGAAAGAAAAAAAAAAAATATTTAGAAAGTCATTTAAAGTGTTTATGTCGAAAATGGACATAGGGTCAAGCCTAAACCTGTCAGATCGAGAACTAAACCCGGATTACAGTCAAACCAAACGTCCACTAATGAAGGATGACTCATGTCCAATAGAAAAAAAAAAGAAAAAAAAAACCTGAGAACTGTTTCCAGCCACTAAGTTACACTGTCTGGGTGAAATCCATTATTATCTTATTCAATTTAATGTAGATTTAATCTAGAGAAGGCTTCTCGTGATTGTGAAATAAAATCCGTGTTAATTTATCGAACCAACAGGCGAATCCTTGTATGGGCTATTCAATAAAATCGGTAACTCTTACTTACCGGGTGGGTCTCCAGTGACGGGTAAAAGCTTCATTGTACACGTGAGCACACACAAAAAAAACATTTAGGTGAAGACGAACACTATAAAGTAAACTAAAACTAAAGAAAACAGCGTGTCTCCGACAGTTTGATCTACACAAGCGTTTTACTCTCACTTTACTTTCACTTCTTATTAACCAGCAGGCGGCGCACAGGACGTGACTGGACTATACAGGCTACACACGGTGCGCTGTTTGTGTTTCTCGGACACAACAGTCAAATCAACAGTAGAAAGCATGCAAAACATCGACCAGCGAAATAAACAAATTGTGCAAAGTGTCTATGCATTTCAAAGAAGAGACCATGTAGAAGAACCTGCACTGTGAAGGCGTCAGTGATCATCGGAGCACTCGGGACAGTCTCCCCAAAACTGGAGGAATGGCTACAGCAAATCCCAGGAAAAACATCAGTCCAGAAAAGTGCAGCAGGAACGGCGAAGACACTGCGCAGAACTCCGAGGACACCATGCGTTTATCTAGAGTGACAGCGCGACAGGAGAGAGGACTGAATAACGTGGTGAGTTCTGCACGATGTTTATGTTGCCGTGGTGAAGTTAGTTTCACATCAGACGTTAGATATTCAGCTACGCAACAACAGCGGAGATGTTCATTGTCTGTGCCCCGCTTGCTCCATCATGGTGCGGGGAGCTGTGCACCAAAACTCCGCTGAGTCCGCGGGTTAGGGACCGTCAATAAATTACAATTACATTGAATAGAGTCTGCTAAAAGTATATATATATATATATATATATATATATATATATATATATATATATATATATATATATATATATATATATATATATATATCAAACCAAGTTATTATAGTAGTCCTACTCCTCAAGTATCATTCACACCTTTTGGTTTTCCAAATTAACCCTTTGTGGGATTTTTAGGATTTTTTTCCCCTTGGAAATCTGTCATTTTTTTCAATAGCTTCTAAGGCTTCCTGTCTGATTCCTCTCCTGTTTTCCATCCAGATGGTTTTCAGCCATTTTTCCAAATTAGGTTCATGTTTACCAAAAACCACATGCGTAATGGCGGGCCATTTTTCTGGTGTAATTATGCCGCAACTTAATCCATTGTCAATGAGTGCATTTATCTATGCATCTCTCCCTCCTGCTTCTTCCCAGAGGTCATGATGCCTCCGTCTTTGTCCTTTTTTAAGACGTCCCATAGTTCAAATGGTAAACTTTTGTGTTTTTATTTGCAAGGCTAGCGTAACTGTGCGATACTGTACAGAGGTTTGGCAAACTTTGACCCCAGGCCCGGAAAAACGGCGCGAGGGACGTCATGATAATAATAAAAAGAAAACTAAAAACAAAGAAATAATAATAATAATAATAATAATAATAATTATTATTATTATTATTATTATTATTATTATTATTATAAATCATCAAAGTAACTAACCAGTGGTAACAGTGAGTTGGCATAAACATAATTTTAGCTCCGTCTCCAAGAATTTCTAAAGAAACAGTTTAGTCAAAAGTTTCATCCCTGACACCTGTCTCTGTCTGATACAGTTTGAAGGCCTGGCTCCACTGCACACGTATTTCACACTATGCAAGCGTAGAAACTGCGACTTTTGGACGCGTACATTTTAGAATGCATGGAAAGTGAATGAGGGCGGCTCCAGTGCACGCGCTAGACGCGCATATGGAGCAGCCCGTCCGGCGCGTGTAGATTTCAGAAAATAGGATCCATTCTATTTTTTTGACGCTCTATGCACGCATAGGCGCGTATCCCCATCAAAAGACATATAGAGAGCATCTACTGTTGTATTTGTGCGTTTATGATCTGCACAATGTGCTCCCATGCGCGTGATACCTGAGGAGTAGGACTACTATAATGACTTGGTTTGGAGTTGGTAGGTCATCTGCCCAGTGTTGGGAAGGTGACTTTTAAAATGTATTCCCCTACAGATTACAGACCCCAAAATGTAGTTTGTAACGTAATCTATTAAATTACTTAAAGTGAGTAACGTAATCTGAATACTTTGGATTACTTGATTTGCTGTAAAGCAGCAAAGACGAGGAAATCTTCACATAAGAAGTTTTATCTGCTAAAAAACCAATGAAAAGCCCAGACTTTACTGAACCAGATTAAAAATATTATTGATAGAAGAAGAGGAGACACGGTCCACAGGGCACGGTTTAGTCCTGTTAAATCCTGTTTTAGTCCTTGTTTAGTCCTGGTTTAGACCTGGTTTTATTCCTGGTTTAGATCTAGTTTAGACCTAGTTTAGACCTGGTTTTAGTCCTGGTTTAGATCTAGTTTAGACCTAGTTTAGACCTGGTTTTAGACCTGTTTTAGACCTAGTTTAGACCTGGTTTTAGACCAGGTTTAGATCTAGTTTAGACCTGGTTTTAGACCAGGTTTAGTCCTGGTTTAGATCTAGTTTAGATTTAGTTTAGACCTGGTTTTTACTCCCCAACACTGCATCTGAAGCACTGAAAAAAAAAAAGTTGCTGGATATTCGTAAAAAAGTTATGGAAAGTAGTTGCATGCAATAAAATTATGTTTAGGCTTTGAAACTTATTTCGATCCCATCTACATATATTTATCTCAGAACATGAGCGTCACTTTTTCATGTTGATGAAATTTGATCAATTCATGCTGAATATGCATATTTATCTTATGGTACCTTATCGTGAAATGTATAAGTATGTATAATTTAATTTAATTGATCTAATTCTGTAAAAGAATACAAAAACAGTCTTTAGTTTTCCACAGTTCTGTTTTGTCTTAAACAGAATCAAACACACAGAGACACACAAGTACAGACACACACAGTTTGGAGATGGACAGTGTGAAGATTTATTCCAGTGAAGAAGCTCTGGTCTCTGCCTGTGGACACAGAATAACACATGATGATCACATTCTGATGATCTACTCTGTTGTACATGTTTAAATACACTTATAGCAATTATTACTACAATAACGGACCAGAACAGAATCACAAGAACATTAGAAGTGTATCTGCAGAAACAAAACTCACTGTGTGCTGCTTTTCTTCCTCTAAATGCAGTAACAGGGAGGGCATCTGGTATAAAGTCTCCTAATGCCACATCACCCTGTAGAAACATGATAACAGTTTCAATAGGAAGTACTGTACATTTTGAAAAATTCTTTTAAAATCATTTTAGTTGGTTTACTTACTTTGTTCATCTGTGCTCTGTGTTTTGTTGGTTCTCAAACACCTTCCTTTTTTCTGAAACATCAGCTGTAACATTGATGATCTTCCCCACAGCTCCAGCAGAGCTCTGGACGTCACTCTGTGTTTGTAGACGACTCTGGAACAAACACATTCAAATCTTAGTTCAAGCTGTCACACTGTTGTAGATGGACAGTCAAATATTTTTTTTTTTCATGGAAACAGTCCTGACATTAACTCAAATTTCAAATAAAACACCACAAACATGTTTTAACAATGACGAAATTGTAGGCCGGAGAAACATAAAATCTTTGAAAAGTCTCACCTCCAGATCAGCTCTCATAATCCTCCTGCTCCACACTGTGTGTCCTCTGCTCATCTAACTGTCCTGTGTCCTGTTACATTCGAATTTTCCCTCCAAAAGTTTTGGGGAGGAGAATTCCAGAGGGAGGAGCCTCACCAGAAATTATAATAAAGTCATGTTTCCTCAACCTGATTAAAACATGCAGGTCTCACATCGGCCACAATCAAGCGACCTTTGTAAAATTTAAAAATGCTGGACAGAGAAACTTTAAAAAGTCATGTTATTGTTGTCAAATTTTTTATTGCAATTTGAGCAACCCCTCTCGGACCATTTTTTCAGTGAGCTATTGAAAAAGAAATCATAGATTTTCAAGATTAAAAATTCCTAAAAATCCCACAAAGGGTTAATTTGGAAAACCAAAAGGTGTGAATGATACTTGAGGAGTAGGACTACTATAATAACTTGGTTTGGAGTTGGTAGGTCATCTGCCTTAGAAGCTATTGAAAAAAAAACTAATTTTTTTAAGATAAAAAAATTCCTAAAAATCCCACAAAGGGTTAATTTGGAAAACCAAAAGGTGTGCGTGATACTTGAGGAGTAGGACTACTATAATAACTTGGTTTGGTGTTTTTATATTAATTGACCTGGAAGATTTTTTTTTTTTTAGCAGACTCCATTCAATGCAATTGTAATTTATTGACGGTCCCTAACCCGCGGACTCAGCGGAGTTTTGGTGTACAGTGATCCCTCGCTATATCGCGCTTCACCTATCGCGGCCTCGCTGCTTCGCGGAATTTTTTACAGTGCTTTATTTTTTACAGTGAATCCTGATTGGCTTAGGGGCGTTACTGTTGTCTAGAAGTGAAAAAGGTTTATTATTGGTTTTTCATTACACCCATGCCAACAGTTTTCGTTTCTGTACATTCTGCCAAATTTACGTTCGCAATTTTTCTCCGTGACAAAACCCACAATGTCAAAGAAAGAGGCCAACAACTACCCATAACGATGTTCTTCTCTCGGAGAAAGACCCCTGCGCAGCCTTCAGTAGAAAAAGACGCTACAGCGCAACGGAGTCAGGACGAAGAGGCGCAGCTGGAGGGACTGTGAAATACGCGAGTGACAATGTTTCCTACCTTGTATTCATTACTATATAAAAATATTGTTTTACAACACCGTTCTTTAAACTATTATAGTTATTTGTAAGAAAACGTTAATATTTCTATTTCTTTAACACATGTTGGGCCTGAAAAGAGGTTTTATTTTTTGTTTCATTCTGCAGTTCAGTATTGCATTGTAAAATCACAGTAAAAAATAAAGCTGACTACTTCGCGGATTTCACCTATTGCGGGTTATTTTTGGAACGTATCCCCCGCGATAAACGAGGGTTCACTGTACAGCTCCCCGCACCATGATGGAGCAAGCGGGGCACAGACAATGAACATCTCCGCTGTTGTTGCATAACTGAATATCCAACGTCTGATGTGAAACTAACTTCACCACGGTGTTTATGTTGCGGTTTAGCTGCACTTTTCCACTTGTTCCATTAACATGACCATAGTTGTATTTCCTAATGCGTGTTTGTTTTGAGTGAGTATTTTGACGTAAGATGACCTGTGACTGATTGTCTTGTTTGGTGTTGAACTATTCTGTCCAGCCGCTCGTCAGTCTTATCAGAGTGGATGTTTGTGGACAGTGTTGTGGTTACTGACTAAAGAGTTGGTGATAAAGATGTGGCATATCAGATAAACAGTCAGTGTGCTGGTTAAACGACCACAGTGCATTTGTGTTTGGCGTAATTATGCTGCAGTGTGCTTCTGATTAGTGCAAAGACAAATGGCTCTACAACGTACGTAATATTCTTGTGAGTAGTGTTAGGCTTGTTCTATCAAAAATGACGACTAGAATCGACCAATTAAAATCACAAAAAATGCATTCCCTGTCCAATACAATTCTAATACTTAGCTGCGGGTCAGATCACGTCCCTAACAGCCTAAATATAGAGGACTTACAATCAGGTGACCTGAACGGCCTCTCTATCCCTAAACCCAGAGATGTAAAACAACAGTATGAATATGCAAATAATATGTGGAGCAGGTTCACACCATGGATCCTCCTTCAAAGTCTCTGTAAGTAGATGACAAGCCCCACTGATCTGCTTTTACAACCCGAAACATCTCCAACATCACATTATCTCTGCAAAGGAATTTCCCTAAAAGCACAAATCTGTTTCCCATTATTCAGGACACACAGTATTACCTTTAAGCATTAAACAATGTTCAACTTAGTGTGTAACTATTAAAACAATATTCAAACAAATATATAAATTCAGTCTTTTGGTATGCGCATGTGGTGCACCCAAGAAGATTTATTACTTGATCTAGCCTTCCGTAAGACAATTATAGCAGAGGAGAGAGGAGCTGAGTGAGGAGGGGAGAGAGGAGCACCTGAGAAGACACAGGAGACCAAGGGATGAGAGAGGAATGAGAGGAGGAGAGGAGCTGAGAAGAGATGAGCAGAGGAGACACAGGGAGGAGAGAGGAGCAAAGGAGCACAGAGGAGTAGAAGAGGAAGCATGTGCTGAGGATGTCTTTCCTCATGCACTGGTTCTAACCAAAACGACCCTATGAGGACTAATGATTATTTAATATTATGATGTCAGGACTTTTAATTAAAGTAAGACCAGTATATACACTTGTTTTTAATGGCAAATTCAGGATAATACAATAATAAAAACTCCCCACTGTGAGACAAATACACCTTTATTATTTTATCTGATGTCTGATCGGATAAGGAAGTAAGGAAAGAGAATTGAGAAGTGTTCTGAGTCCTTTCTATACTGACAAACACATGACAGTAAAGTCTGCTTTGACTGGCCAGTGCTCAGAATATGCAGACTGAGGATTCACAGGTTTTAAACTGATCAAGTTTTGCACAAAAGCGTGATCTAAAAAGCCTTTAAAATGTGTTTAAAAGTAACTAGTTAAAGTAGTATTTTTAAAGGTAATTTTTTGCTTTTACTTAAATGGAGTTAATATGATTAACTGAGATTCAGGAGCTGGACCATGCCTTCATTTACCCAGAAGCCCTATTTATATAATATTCAGCCCTATCCCGACCCCGTCCGTGTCAGCACTCTCAACCAAGCCAACCCACTGATCCTCTGTCCCTCCCTCCATCCTTCCCTCATTCCTCCATCTGACGCTTGTTGCGTAATTCAACGATTCGAGCCATGCTTCCTTCACCTGCAGTTCCATGCTAGCCACCAGCACCCATGTTAAAGCACACATATTATTCATACCAACTCATACCTCCCGAATGACATCATGTCCACAACTTCTCATGATACAGCGGCTTTTAACGCAGCTCAGGAGTCATTGCACCTTCACGACGCAGCTCCTGTTTCTCCAGCGCTTTATCTCCAGCAGTAGATGGCTTCCACATAGCTTCCAGAGCTCGAGAGTTGTACAATTAGTCTTCAGCTTCATCAGAACTCTGCCCTACCATTCCACCAGTCTGACTAATCCAGAAGGGGCATTCCCATTCATTCTAACAATAATAGATCAGTTGACATCATTTACAATGCAATATCTTTCTCCAGCGATCACAATCCCTGCAACCCACTTTAATCTCCTCGAACAATCCATCATTCAAGATGCTCAAACTCCGGGACATTGAAATCCTATTGCCACCCGTTCTTATGAAATTAAGATATGCTTGACATCGAACTCTAATATCCATCTCATTCTGCCCTCACAGTTTCAGTTATTACCTTCAACTACATGTTCCATCATCTAAACATGTATCTGCCTAGCAGAAAGCCTTTTCATTGTCAACGTCACACTCTATCTTATCGCAGTTCTTCACGAACATCGGCTCCTAATCAGTTCATTCGGTGTCAATTTGACCCAGTTTTACACTCCCTCGGGGTTGTGAAACTTGTCCTCACGCATGTTCTTCCAGCTTAGTTTTCATTATGATGTTAAGGAATCACTGGTCAGACCCAAATATGCAGAGGGAAAAAGTATTTATTTCACAAAAATAGTCTTGGCGGGGGGATAGATTCGAGGGGGGCAGGACGGGTCCGGGTTGGCTGCAGATGGGAGGTCTGTGGAGATGGAGGCTGACCGGAGGCTTACAGAAACTGGTGGGTACGGGATGAGGCTGGCTCCAAATGAAGTGCTGGGGATAGGACAAAAGAAACAGGTAAGCATCAAAAAGTCTGGGGAATTCTCAAAAATCTTCAAAAGCCTGAGTAGTTCACCACTGGGCTGACGGAACAATCTGGCACTGGAGAGCAGGTCAGCAGGTCTTTTATTGTAGGAGATGATTACTTGATGGAGAACAGGAGTGGAGCTCAGCAGGTGCATGACTGGGACCCGCCCAGGAAATGCCAAACAAGGCAAGTAGATACAGCGAGGGAGCAGGGAAAGGAGGGGTAGGAGGAGCAGGGAGAACCCTCACATATGAATTATATTCATTCAGCAACATAATTCCTTCCACCACTCCAACCAGTCCGTGCAATCTCACACTTGTACCTCTTCGCCCAGTTCACATACAACTCCTCCTCAGTTTCCGACCAGTCCACTAACGAGAATCCTTCAATTGGCCAGAATCTGCTCTCACTATTCCCATGATTCTTGTCAGGCCTGAGCCAGGACTGACTGTCGGGACGGGCGCCTGCATAGACTGTCGGGTGACCGCAGGGAAAGGACCGGCGCAGAGCTCCGCATCCCACGGAGCTAAATGCAGCCATCACCAGGTTGCACTTTGCAGACACCCTGCTCTGCAGGCTCGGGGTTTTCTCTCAAGTCCAAGATTAGTCCAAGTTTAGACCTGGTTCAGTTCTGGTTTAGTCTTGGTTCAGTCCTGGTTTAGTCCTCCTGGTTCAATCCTGGGATCAGTCCTGGTTCAGTCCATATGTGGCGCAGAAGTCTGGCATCTCGATCAATGTTTCTTCTGCTCAATAAATAATGCTTGTGAAGTGGTGATGTATTTTTGACAGTCGAGTTTGTGAATTCGTCTTCGTACTGAAGAAAACGTAATCATAAATTTTCATTTCGTGATTGTATTTCTTGACGTTGTAACTTTTCAATTTGTATTCTGATGGATAAAATACACACAATACATTTAATGTACGACTCGACTCATTGAGTCAAGAGTTTACGAATATTTATTTTATGCTCAACTACAGCCAAAAATGCACAGATTTCTATCATATGCACTTGAATATTTCTGAAAGTTTTCTTATTCTGTAGTGCTTCATTTGTTCTTCTGCTTGAGCACATTTTACAAAAATCATGGAGGTATTATATATAACTGTAGAGAGTGACCAAGTCCCGCCCTTCATACATGTTAATGACCAGGGCTCGGCTAGTAAATTCAGTCAATTCGTAATAAATGTGAAATGGATGTTAACCATTTTTTCCATTATTCATTCAAACACAAAATCTGGAAAAATATGTTTTATTTTATTTTATTTTATTATTATTATTATTTTTATTTTTTTTTTTTTTCATTTTTGTTTTGGAGACAAATAATAAGAAAATAGTTGTCTTTTGTTTTTTTTTAGTTTTGGTTTTTGGTTTTAAAACAAATGACTGTACTTGTATGATAATTGAGCACAGTATTAGCCATGTAAATGTCTTTTTCAGTAGACTTTTCACCCTTGCTTTCTTCGAAACATTGAAGTGAACAAGTTTTATTTCCTGTTCAGATGAAATCAGGATGTGGCTCAAAGTGCACCAGCCTCACGCGACGATGGCAGCCGCTCTAGTCTGCGCATCAATCATAGGTGAGAAATACTCCATTTTACTTTTATTTATTCTTTATTTGTTTATTTCATTCATAAAATATAAAAACATTGTCATAATATAAACCATACAAGAAATGAAAGAGAAAGAAGCGTCATCTTATGTTATCTCCCCCATTTAACACTGATAGTTACTTTAAAACATTTTAAATCAATACATTTCATTTCACAAATATTAATCAATTGCAAACAGAAATGTTCACTTTTACTCACAACAACTATAGTTTTCTTCTTCATACATACTTATTGCACTGGATTTTATGTTCTTTATGTCTTTTTGTATTTGATCCTTTTCTTTGTCCAGACTATTTCATAAATGAACTCCTTTCATAGCAATGCTTTGTTGGTTTATCATTTACTTTTGGGGATCAGCTATAGAATGTCTGGTGTCCATTAGGCAAAGTATGACAGACAGGTTTTGTTGTTGGAGATTTTTTTTTTTTTAATTTAAAGGTGCATTGTGTACATTTTCTGGTGAAGGGTCCGTCACCTGCTTGTTTCTATGGATATGTAATTGCTGTGCCTGGAATGTTCCACATTATGACATTAAACAGCTCTACATTATACCTGTTCAGTGGTTGACCAATAAAATCTAAAGTCATTGTGTGTCAAAAGTGTAACTGATTTGTTTCTCTAATTTGACTCTATACTATATACTGGCTCAGTAGATATGTATTTAATATGTCAGTCAAATAAATAAATAAATACATTTGCATTGTAGTACGTACAGTATAAAAAGTGGTGTTAATAAATTGTTATCGGCTAAATATTAATGTCCACTTCAAGTCTCCGTGCCTACCTATAAAAGTTACCACATGCTCCTGTATTTATTCAATTAGAGGTGGTTTTATAGCTCAAAAATACCCATAAAAACAGACTTTCTCACTGCGAGTGGGGTTGCTTCTCTACAGATCTGAGCTGTAACATTGTCTGACTTGGTCTCCATGAAGAGAGAAATGTTTAATACCACTAGGGTTGCCAAAACAGAATTGTCCCGTATTCAGAAACAAAAGTACGGGTCTCGTATTGAGCTGAAAAGGGACAGACTTTGTCCCGTATTTCCGTGAGAATTACCGTGAGAAATCTGTGATTGGTCCATTTCCATTCCATTATATTAACCCTTTATTTCCCAAGAAATATTAGTCCAAGTTTATAATAATGAAAATTATAGAAATTATTTATTCTAAAATTAATAATTAATAAAATTATACAATCAATTCTATAAATTATTACTAGAGTAGTGTTTATTACTCACTGAATAAAAAATATTTAAAAAAAATATATGTTAGTAGTACAAAAAATGCATTCAAAATGTTTTCTTGGGCCATCCCCTCTGCAACAAAGCAGCATGGACAACAGTGGCGCCAACAGTGCTTTACAGTGTTATGTTGAAATGAGCTACCTACAGCCGAACGTAGGTATTCTGCCACAAATCTAACACGCACATGTCCATGCTTTCATGCTTAACTGATCAAAACATACAATAAAACCAAAAGACTTTTAAAATGTGACTTGTTACTCCACTTCTGCCTCGGGAGCTCAAATCGACAGCATTTAAACAGGAACAGCACTTGAGGGGGTGTGCATGTATAGTAGCGCTATGTAGCTTAAATCGACAGGTAGCTCAAATGGACAGGACACCGGCCCTGTCAATGGGGTGTCCCTCATTTATTTTTCAGGGAGTTGGCAACCCTAAACACAATACTGTGAAACATTTCAAACTAAGCAATAACATGTCCATGGAGGAAAGCATTTGACTGACCCTTCACCAGAAAAGTTACAAGTTTTGTTTTGTTTTTCGTTGGATTATCATAACAGCTAAAGTTAATATCGTTGGAATTGTGTTGTTATACAGTGAGTTCTTGGATCTTTGTTTTTGATCAGATTTATTGTATATATACATACAAATTATTATGGACAAATTATTATAAACAAAACATACAAGAAAAAAGTCTTTCCCCCATCTGGAGAGTATGACATCATCACATTCTAGAATCTGAAAACCACTAGTCTGTCTAATGAAACTTAATTGTGTTGTGTCACAGCGAACCTGAGCATCTCCCCAGACAGGGCCCAGTACTTCGAGATGGACAACTTTACTGCAGTCTGTCCCCTGACCTGGAGCTTTGTCAGGATTACCAACCCTGCGTACAGCCCCGAGTCGTGCGCTCTGCCCTGGGGTATTCCAGAGGGGCAGTCCTGTGAGGTGAATAAGCTGCTCCCCACAGACTCTGGGCAGTACTGGTGTCAGGCCCAGGACCAGAAGACGGAGTGTAGTCCCGCGGTCAACATCAGTGTCATGGGTAAGACTGCAGTTTTCTAATCCAACCACAAGGAGGCCACCTGGTCTTTTCTTTCTACCATGTTATCAGGGTTAAAGGTGTATTGTGTAACTTTTCTGGTGGAGGATCTGTCTCATGCCTTTCTCCATGGAAATGTTAATGCTTTGTGTGGAATGTTTATCTTCATGGAGACCAAATCAGACCAAGTTACAGATCAGATCATAATGCCTGTTTCTCTGGGTATTTTTGAGCTATAAAACCACCTGCAATGTAATAAATGTGAAGTTTAATGTCATACTGTGGAACATTCCAAGCAGAGTGTCGCCCCTCCTGTGCTTGAGAGGGGTGACGAGGTAAATCCTGAGAAAAGAATACAAGGGGCTTGCTATGAGCCTTACAAGAGCAATGACATATCCCTAGAAATCAACAGGTGATGGACCCTCCACCACAACAATGCACCTTTAATCATTTAGTCAAACAATATTTATTTATTAATTTTACTCAACTAAACTGTCATGCTAATTTAGTTGAGTAAAATTCAAGTTTTGGTCAACCAGAAAATATTGGTAGTTTTCAGATTTTACAATGTGATGAAGTCATTCTCCCAAATTAGGGGCAAGGGTCAGATTTTCCTGTTGATTACACTGTACTTTGCCATGACATATCCAAAAGGTAAACTCACAAATGTTGAACCTGGTATTTTGACTAAACCCAAGAACTCATTGCAGTTTTGCATTTTAACTATTTTAATTTTAACAGCCCCCTCATCTGTATTAATGAATATTGTCCTAAATAATGCTGTGCTGTCATTTGAGACCCAGCAATATATCTCTACATGTCCAGCTGATACAACAATGATTTTAACTGATACAAAAATGCATCAGTTAAAATTGTCCATGTACATGTAGACAGTTTGTTTATGCTCTGGTTTAGGGCTCTGAGGTTCAAAAGTGAGAGTTGGATCATGCCTTCATGTATCATGAATCATGTATTTCACATTAAAATATATCTGTGAGGTCTATGAGAACAGTCGTAACTAGAGTTGTAATTTGATAATAATAAAGTCACAGTCCCTTGGCAGTTCATGTTTTTTACACAATAATTTTCCTTTTCTTTTTGGTCCAGAATGCCCTCTCAGTTTATAGATAGCCTAAATGGGCTCAGAACAACGTTAAAAGAGCAAAAATACTTATATATTATTCTTCTATACTTTTTTCTTGCAGTGGTAAAAAATTTGACATGCATTTTTTTTTTTTTTTTTTTTTTAGAAAAGGGTGTGATTCTGGAGATCCCGTCGCTCCCGGTGAAAGAAAAAGAGCATGTCACTCTGAGATGCTCCTATAAAGACGCCGAATTTGCCGATCCCACCTCTAACTTCAATGCCTCCTTCTTCTTAAACGGTTCCTTTTTGGGATGGTTTCCTGGAGGTCAGATGGTGCTTTCCTCTGTGACCCAGAATCAGCATCAGGGTCTGTATCACTGTATGCACCCGAACAAGGTCCAGTCCCTGCAGAGTCTCCTCATTGTAAAGCCGAACGGTTAGTGACATTTCAGAAATAATGCCACTCACACCACATTCATACATGGAAAAGGTGGGAGGTGCCATGCCCAAGGACACAACAGCATGTCTCAGTTGCAGCTGCAATTGAGCCTGCAGGCACTGAGGTTAAACACTAGAGACAAAAATAAGAATACCCACAGTATTTCCTACTTCAGGCTATAGAAAGTATATATAAAAAGACAGAGCTCGCCCACAGGCCAAATAGGAAGTGAGCACTTTCTATTGAAAAACCATCACCCTGCTTCTTGTAACTGCTGCTGTCAGACTCGTCATTCTGACCTTAAAATGTTATTAACCAACTACATATGATCCTCAGGTTTTTAGTTCACTATTTTGTCTGTTATCCAAGATTTGAACATTAAAAACAGACCGATCAGGTGCTTTCTTTCGCCTGCACTGGTCACTAGACTGGTCAGGAGCAAATGATAAATTCAGTTCTGTCAACTGGACAAAAGTTTTTTGATGGAATACGTTTGGCAGCTCATCCAAACAACTTCTCCAGTTAGTCCAGGTGACAGAACTGAATTTTTCCTTTGCTCTGGATCCTACCTGGACGACCGAGGGATTTCATAAACATCTAGACCTGTGAGAGTTTTAACTAAACACTACTGACCAGAAGATCCAGAACTCAGAGAATGATGTTGTGCATTGATTGACAGATGCTCCGTCCTCCTCGGTTCCGCCCACCTCTCCTCCTTGGCCAAAGGAAATCCCTCTGTTCAGACTGTTGTGTTTCCTGGCGCTGGTCGTCCTCTACACCTTCATCCTCGGCATCAGCATCTCCATTTACTGCAAGTGGACTCGAGGTACGGCTCTTTAAAGCTACACAACGTCACTTTTCTGGAGGAGGGTCAGTTATTGCTTTGCCCGGAATGTTCCACTATGGCTCATTTATGATTATTATTATTTTTTATTTTATTTTTTTTACCTTACCTTGAAAAACTTTTGTTCTTATTGTGAACGTCGTCAGCGTATCAGAGCATCTCAGATCTTTTTTACCTCGTAAATTTAATGCCATACTGTGAAACATTCCAGGTAAAGCAGCAACACCTTCGAGACAAGCAGATGGTGAACTCTCCATGAGAAAGTTTATTTAAGTTTATAAAACACTCTCTGTGCACAACAGCTCTCTAGCTAACTCACTGTGTCTAAAAGCTAATGCAAATCTTTATCGAAAGCTTCAAATTCAATAAATAACAAAAGAAAAGAAAATTCTGCCAACTGAACAAAAGTTTTTTTATATGCAAGTGTCTTCAGTTTGTGGTGGTTTTAATATTTATTATTCCTCAAAATTAGCATTAGCGTTAGCACTGAGGCCCAAACATCTCACTTCTAAACACAGATGTTTCCTCTGCATTTGTAAAATGTTTCTCGTGTGTCAGACACATCCACAGCTCCCTGTTCTCTGCCTCATCTGTTCATATTTATATGTTTATACATTTTAGAATGAGTCACCAAAAACCCCACAAATAAAACTGGACAGGAAATAGCAGTGCTAACAGTGAGGCAGCTGGGTGCTGTTGTGCACAGAGACAACTATAAATAAATCACAACATTTGTCACATGAACTAAACAGGAGCAGTGTTATGGATTTAAATTGATACTTGTATTTTTGTTTTTGTTTTTTTCAGCACGAGCCAAACAAAAGCAGCAGGAGTCCGAGCGGGTTTCCCTCCGAAGAATCAGAGACGCCTAAGCACCAGCAGGGGGCGCACGGAATGGATCAAGGTTAAAATCAATATCCGCCTGCAGTTTGAGCTCTTAAAAATGCAGTGTTGAACTCTTCTGGTGGGGTTGGCCATATGCTGGTCTCCATGGAATGTTTCACAGTGTGGCATTATAGTTATTTGTCCTATTTGTTCAATTACAGGTGTTTTTAATACTTCAAAATACATGAATAAACAGGCCTTCTTTCTGTGAGCGGGTCGCCTCTTCACAGATCTGACCTGTAACTGGCGCAGTGGTGTCACCTGTTTGCCTTTATGGAGATACAAAAGTTTAATAAATAACATTAACAAATACATTTAAATATTGTTAAAGGCTCAAGAATACGTAGACTTTGTAAGCTAACCACTCTGCCACTGTGTATGCACTTATTTCTGTAGCTTTTTTTTTCTTTACATTTCAGTGTTTATGTTTTAAAAGCCTTTGCCTGATTTAAACCATGAGTCTAGTTAAGTTGAAAACTATAGCTTCATTTATTAGAACCATTTATATTTTTTACTCTTTGTTATTTTGTTTTATTATTTTGTTATTTTGTTTTGTTATTATAATATATTGTGATATGTGAGCTTCTGTGTCCAAGTCATTTCTCTTGTGGATTGTGAAATGTGTCATGACATCACAAGGTGGAACAGAGCATTTTGAGCTTTGGAGATGTAGACAGACTAATAAAAAAGGGTTACTCAAACATGTGTGAATGAAACAAAACACAACTCCAGGTCTGTTTTTGATGAGGTAAAAACATTCTAACATGGCTTAAAGGTCACAAGAGTCAGTTATGTGTAATATAGAACCTTTAATGTGAACCTTTAAATAATAAAAGGTTCACACTGTAGTTAACAGTAGTTCTTTAGTTGTATGTATGTAGTTATTACCAGTTAAAATGCTGTGTGAAATGAATAGACTAGATCAACTTTTACTTTACAATTCAGGGTGTAAAGAGCAGTTATCTTGACAAGAGTAAATTAAAATTGTGTTTGATGTTGTGAGAATTGTTTGCTTGCAAAGACCAGTTTCCATTTGTGGTTTTGTGCTTTGTGCGCTTTTTTTTTTTTTTTCATCATTTTGGCAGGTGACCGAGGTAACACAGATGAACTATAAGCACTTTTTTCACTGACATTAAAGCATTATAAAAGACATTGTTTTGATTGCATTAAAGGGCCCATATTACACTTTTTTATGATCTATGTTATAATGTCGTTTCCCCATCACAAACATACGTGGAGTTGGGTTTTGTTTCATTCACATGTTTGAGTAATTCTGGTTAATTAGTCTGTCTACATCTCCAAACCTCCAAATGCTAAGTTCCACCTTGTAATGTCATGAAGTGATTTTCACGTAAACAGTGGAGTAGAGACTGGCAGGTCCAGGGCTCAAAACATCCAAATCATTGCAGTGAAGGTGTATGGAGTTTAAAAACACAGTGGAGCACTTTCTGTATTACCACATGACATCACAAGGTGTAACAGAGTGTTTCAATTTGAAAGAGAAATTAAACAAAACAAAACTCCTGCAATGTTTGTTGTGAGGAAACAACAGAGATCAGAAAATAGTGTAAATGGTCCGTTTAATATTTAATGCATTCTCAACATGAACCACTAGATGTCAGCAAACCTCCACATTGAAATGACAGCAAATCTTTTTTTTTTTTTTTTTAACGTCTGCCTTTCAAATGTGTTGATAATGTCTTATTACAATATAGCAAAGTATGAGTTATATATAAAAAGAAACAAAAAAAGTTCTAGTAGAAGGTTTCTGTTCATAGTTCATATTTGAACATTTCCAGTAACATTCATGTCTGAGAGAAAACAGAAATTTGAACTTTAAACTAATCCAAGAATCCCAGGTATTTCAGAACATGTTTGTAGAGGTCTAGACTACAGGTTTATAGCAGCGTTTACACAGAATAAGACCCCACAGAGACACAGGGAGGGCACCTGACTCTCAGGGACGTTTCAGAACATGTTTGTAGAGGTCTAGACGACAGGGTGAGCAGCTTTTACACAGAATAATACAGGACATCATGTTATTTGAATAATTATGGGGTTTGTATTTGCCAGTTGCTAGATTTCATAATACAAGGCAACTCTTGCGGAGTCACTCTGCCACTCCAACCGACAGATCAGTGTGTGGATGAAACACAACTTTATCCAGGTAAACTCAGTCAAGACAGAAGTCATAGTCTTTGGCCCACAGAAACAAAGAGACAGAGTCAGCAGTCACCTCCAGTCTCTCTCTTTAAAACCTTTAAATCAGGCTAGAAATCCAGGGCTAATAATGAACTCAGACTTGAACTTTAACAGCCACATCAAATCAACAACATCTGCAGCCTTTTACCATCTAAAAAACACAGCAAAAATCAAAGGTTTACTGTGTATGCGTTTGTCTCCAGTAGGTTAGACTAATATAATGGTCTGCTCACTGGTCTCTCCAAACGAGCTGTAGACAACTACAGTACAGGATCTGACTCGAGAAGTACGAGCACATAAGTCCTGTGCTCAGAGAATAGACTTTATTATTTATGTATTTTATGTATTTATTTTGGGCAAGTAAGAAATGTACATTCTTTTACAATGGAACATATAACATTAGTGAAATCATAGCAGAAATCTCAACAAAAAATTGATTGGCTAAAAAAGGAGTGGGAAGAAAACATATTTACTTTAAAGTGGCTCTGCTTGTGTACAAGTCTCTCCATGGCCAAGCACCAAAGTCCATCTGTGACATGTTAGTGTCATATGAACCATCTCGCACTCTGAGGAGCTCAGGGACCAGCCTCCTGCTGGTGCCCAGAGTCACGACTAAACACGGGGAGTCAGAGTTTCAGATTCATGCAACTAAAACCTGGAACAGTCTCCTGAACATGTGAGACACACATCGACTTTGACTCTGTTTAAATCTAGACTCAACAGTTCTGTTCTGTTCATTCCACACTCTTCTCTCTCATTTAATCTCTCTCTTTTTAATTGTATGATTGTTTATGTTTTGATTTGTTTGTATTGTGATTTTAATGCATTTCTTATTCTGTAAAGCACATTGATTTACTTTGTGTATGAAATGTTCTTTACAAATAAACTTGCCTTGCCTCTACACACTAGTGCCATCTAGTGGTTTGAGACGCATTATAAGTTTTGTTTAATTTGCAGATTTTTCATTAATGGGCCTGTGCCTGATTTAAATGTTTTCTTGTAAATCACTTTAGCATTTTCTCAGGTAATAATTTATACAGAAGCTAGAGACAAGGTTTTATTGTCCAATCAGGAACACTGTCACCGAGGATCATGGGAAACCAATTCATAGACACTTGGTTCTCTGTTATAACACATTTTCAACAGAGGTTAAAAGCAAATAGTAGCAAAGATTTAAAACTATTAATAAAACAATTGCCAGACACTCCCTGACAGTCGTTTCTGGGTCATGGTGCAACATCACAGAAAGGACAAAGTGGGCGGAGCTAAAACTTCATGGTCCTTTATTTAATCTGTGTAAAGTCCCAGATACCATCAAAGTTTCACACACCGTTCTACGACGCAATATCTCGTATAAACAGCAGATACAAATGATTGATATCTTTATTTAAAGGGCCATATTGTGCTATTTTCTGACCACCTTGTGATGTCATGTGGTAATACAGGAAGTGCGCCATTGTGTTTTTAAATTCTATATACAGTACGTTCACTAGAATCATTTGGATAACTTTAGCCATAGAATTTCCTAACTCTGCTGCACTAAACTTGACTTGATTTAAACTTGAAAACTACGGCTTCATGACATCACGAGGTGGAACAGAGCATTTTGAGCTTTGGAGATGTAGACAGACTAATAATAAAGGATTACTCAAACATGTGTGAATGAAACAAAACACAACTGACAGCACAAATCATCTCACCTGTTGCCGTTAGTAAAAAAAAAAAAAAAAAGGAAAAAAAAGTAGCAAGAGCAAACGTCGAGACATTTAATTTTCTATGAGAATAAAAAGCAGATGACACACTTTCTGCTCACATACATGTCAACAATCTGGCATAAAGGTATTTCATTGTTCAACAGCAGGAACATATCAGGAAAAGAACTGCACAGGTTCAATTTCAGATGAAACAATTAATACAAACGTGATTAAACCGGCTACAATATAAACATAAGAACAAAAAATTCATAATTCAGCCCTGGAATTGTCAATCTTTACTAAACTAAAGGTAAAACGTAGCTGTTAACTTGAAATCTACCACTACATGACATCACAAGGTGGAACAGTTTGTACATTTTGAGCTTTGGAGATGTACACAGACTAATAATAAAGGGTGTGAATGAAACAGAACACAACTCCAGGTCTGTTTTTGAGGAGGTAACAGCATTATAACACAGTTTAAACCTCATGAGAATCCATTTTATGTAATAGAGAACCTTTAAACCTTTTTTTATATAAAGTGTGTTTTAGTTTTTTTCAGTCCCATTAATGGGCCTGTACCTGATTTATTTCTGTGTTTTTTAGCTAAATCTTTCTTCTTATTATATTTAGGTTTAATGGGACCATCGTGGCCAAACCATCTTGTCGAAGTCAGATCTCGTCAGCTCTCTTTTATTAAGCAGTCTGGGCCTGGTTGGGACTTGGATGGGAGACCACTGAGTTGTTGTGTCCTTAGGCAAGACACTTCAGCCACAATGCCTAGTACAGGGATCTAGCTCCCAAGCTACCAGTAGGATCTCTAACTTGTGCACTAATAAATGGATAGTGGTTTATATTTAATAGGCATCTAACTGTACCCTGTCTAAGGCTTGCCATGGCTTTTATACTTTCTCAATTTCTTGCGACAGCTAAAATTAGTAGCTCTCTGGGTTTTTCATTTCACAAAGGTGGCTCATCAGAGGAAAAAGGCCTAGTATGAAAGTGGTGTGTGAGTGCTGGTGGTGGTGGGAGGGGCAGATTGACAGCCTCGCTTCTGTCTGTCATCTGTTGCTTTAGGCGCTGTATAATTCTTTGTTATGAAACATGTTTGGCATGTCTGAGAGTTTGTTTATTTCAGATCATCACTAAAGATTATCAATACAAACACTCAATTATTCTATTAGTTAACTATATATATATTTTTTTTTACATTGAATTGCTGTGGTCCAATAGTGACCGAGGATGGGAGGGAAGGAAGGGCATCTGACACTGCTGACGCTGTGATTTGGTCACTGTATCAGACCGTTGTAGTGAAGAGGGAGCTGAGTCGAAAGACAAAGCTCTCGATTTTCCGGTCAATCTTTGTTCCTCCCCTCACCTATGGTCATGACCTCTGGGTAATGACTGAAAGGACAAGATCGCGGATACAAACGGCCAAAATGAGTATACTCCACAGGGTGGCTGGGCACTCCCTCAGAGAGATAGGGTGAGGAGCTCAGTAACACGGGAGGAGCTCGGAGTAGTGCCACTGCTCCTCTACGTTGCGAGGAGCCAGCTGAGGTGGCTCAGGGATATGTTTCGGATGCCTCCTGGACGCCTCCCTGGAGAGGTGTTTCAGGCACGTCCCACCGGGAGGAGGCCCCGGGGAAGACCCAGGACACGCTGGAGGCTGGCGTGGGAACTCCTTTGGATCCCCCTGGAAGAGCTGAAGGAAGTGTGTGTGGAGAGGGAAGTCTGGGCGTTCCTGCTTAGACTACTGCCCCCGCGACCATGCCCCGGATAAGTGGAAGAAAATGGATGGATGGGCATCTTACACACAGGAATATAGGAGGACGGGAGGGTATTTGGCATACAGGGATATAGAATGGGGAGGCATTTGACTCACATCTGACACAGGGATATATCAGGATGGGAGGGCATCTGACAAAGGGATACAGGAAGGTGGAAAGGCATCTGACACAATGGCATATATTCGGACGAGAGGGCATCTGACACACTGGGATATAGGAGCAGGGAAGGGCATCTGACGCATCACAACATCTGCGGATTAACTAGCAACACTCGACCTGCCCAATTAAACCTCATATTTCTCCGCCGTCGTTACATCAGTCCATTGTGTCTAGATTTGACCTCATTCTGCACAAAACGTGAAAGTCATATTGGACAAACTGGTTTTTCAGTTTTTTAATAACAGGTTGGAACATTTTGAACACCGCACGAACTGTCTAACCTGCCAAACCGCGTGCCTCTTTTCAGCAGGGGTGATGCGTTTACTGACAGTAGGAAGTATGAGAGCTTTATGGAAGATTAAACATGAGATGGCGAGAAAAACAACAGATCGAACGGGACTCTCAAGAGAAAACACGATAAAAAAATGGCTTTGAGGTGGGATTTCACTGGACTAATACTGACGATCATTTTAACCTTAAAGGGTAAGCACAGTAAAGATTATTTCATTCAAATCTATTCAAATTTATGATGTTAAACTGAACATTTTCTTAATTTGATAACAGATACATTATAAAAAGCACCATTACGTAAAGTGACTTGTCTTGAGTTAAAGGTGCATTGTATAACTTTTCTAGTGGAGGACCCGTTAAATGCTGTTATTTGTTTGACTGGAATGTTTCACAGTATGGCATTAAACATTTCTATTTTCAATGACACCAAACCAGACCAAGTTACAGGTCAGATCGGTGGAGAGGCGACCCCGCTCACAGTCAGAATATCTGTTTTTGTATTTGTTTTTGAGCTATAAGTCCACTGAACAAATGTAAAGTAGAGCTGTGTAATGTCATACTGTGGAACATTCCAGGCAGAGCAATGACATATCTATAGAAACAAGCAGGTGACAGACTATCAACCAAAAAAGTTCTAAATGTTCTAAATGTGGATTCATGAAGATTTCAATAGCTCTGTCTGACGCTCTGTTACTGAGGTTAGACTTTAATCTGAACTTTATGTGAACACAGTCTGACCAGGAAGAAAGTGTTAGTTGGAATTTTAACAGTGGATGAAGGATAATAAAAACTGTTTAACTGTTTTAATCTGGCCTTTTATTTCTCTGTACTATGTTAGGTAATAAATAAATCAATAAAAATAAATCACTACAACAGGTGAGATGATTTGCCCTGGTAAACAAATCTCTCACAATTACGGTTAAAAGATACGAGTGAAGATGTCTTGGGTCCATTCTGTCTTTCTTTGTGTATTTTGTATTCTATCTTGAGTTTTCAGATCGTCTTAAAACTTGATTTATTTTTTAATTACTTTATTTATTGACATTTTCAGTTTAAAACAAATATTCTACAAAAAAAGAAAAGAAAAAACTATGACAAAAAAGTAAAGTACAAAAGTAAATGTACAATACTTAGGTACAATTCAGTCTTTACTTGAGTAAATTTTACAGTGGACACTTTTTGCTTTTACTTCACTACATCTGAGAGCAGGTATCTGTACTTTGTACTCCACTACATTTTATACATTTTAGATCTGGACTGAAAAGTAAAAAGCAAATCAAATAGACAAAAACAGCTAGAAATTTTAAGAAATCCATTGAATCACTTAAAATAAGACTTAGATTTAGACAAACTTTATTGATCCCCAGAGGAAATTATTTGGACACAGTAGCTCACACATCACAAGATACAAAAAAATAATAAAATAAATCAAAATCAAAATCACTACATTTGATGCTTTAATTTTCTAAAAATAATAATAAATTAATAAAAAATAAATAAAAAAAACAGCTACTTCAAGAGTAGATTTTTTCATGTAATATTTTTATTTTTATTTTTTTATTTTTTTTACTTTTTTACTTTTATTTTTACTTAAGTAATCTGTATCTGTACTTTTACTTAAGTAACAAAATTGGGTACTTCATCCACTTCTGCAGATACACAAGTAGAACACCCCCAGCCTGTACCAAAGTACCACTACCTCATTTACATTTGTACCTCATGTATTGTGCAAATTAACCAGATCAGCAAATACTAGCTGCACAATACACTCTGACTAAAAAAATATAGGCCATTCAGAATTATAAATATAGTTACAGTGTGGATAAAAGAGCTGCCAAAATCCTTTGACATAATATAAAAGATAAAGATTTAGCAATGATCTCTAATTATCTGCAGCCACTTTGTTCAGAAAGACAGGTTTTGTGTTTATTTTGATCGGATATGGAGTAGTAATTATTTTAGTGGTCAACTGCTCAAATGATTATATTTTTCTTT